AAGTGTCGCATCACCGAGATTTTTGGTGGTGTAAACAATTTATTCTGAAGCAATATTTTCATCAGTTTTCTGTCAGCTTTTACATACTTAAATCTGCATGTTTTTAATATTTACCACAGGATGTAATTTACCTTTATAAAGGTCAATATTTTTTTTAACCTTATTAAATGTATGCGTCATCTTTCAAGTGAAATTCTTACAATTGATCAAGAAATTTAATACACTACAGGGCTGTTACCAATCAAATTAAATTACAAAATTACAACAGCAATAAATAATGTTATGGGATTAATGTTGTAAATTAAATTTTGAACATACAAATAAGAAATGTTGGGGAAAAATGCATACTTTTAAGCATGAGACTAAACCGCCAGTAGGTGGCGGTAAGTCACTTATTCATTCAACCGATTCCTTCAAACCTCTGAATCATTCAGTAACAAAAACGCCGGGTGTGGCTTGGAGAATGTGTGCAATAGTTCTGTTCTGATCTTTGTTTGGAACCATTTTCGTTGATGAAATAGAACAAAACAGTGAATTGTGTCTAAAAATGTAAGTAACTTCATATACTTTACTACTTGTATGTTGAACTAAAATCAATGTAACATTTGCAATCGTGAAAATATTCAGCAAAATAGATCCCTTATGGTATGTTACTTGACTATATCATGCTATAAATAAACTAAACATTTAGCATTTTTACCTCAGTATGTTTGTTCTGTGAGTTTCTTTATGTGTGCCGTACTCTCATTTGATTTGATTTCTCCATGAAAGTCTCTCACAGACAGGCAGCATAGAAATACACTATCAATTATCAATCGCTGTTTAAGCTGAATGTGATAAAATCAGAAGAATCATTCGCGCGTTTTGATGTGTGATTATATTTTGTCACTTAAGTTTTAATCAGGCTATTAGTCCTGTCGGGCAAGTACAATTCTCGAGCCATTTTTCAGTAAACTTGCATTAACCCATTTAAAGTAGGTCGGAGGCTGGTCAGCGAGCTGCTGTTCGACTGTATTCTGTAACCGCAATTCTCTCTGATGACGCGGTAACTACTCTCTGATGACTACGGTAACTTTTGTCATCTTCTGATTGGTCAACTTCAGACAAATCGCCAAATCGTCTCGTTCAACCGCACATACGCCACGAATTTAAACCGACAGCATCCGATTTTTTTTTTTTACATGTTTGAAAATTATCGGGAGGACGGGAGGTGCTCGTAACGTCTCGGATCGGCCCGTAATTCTTCTCACACGGTACGAGCCACGACCATGCGAGCATCTGCGATTATCTCCCGAGAGAAAAAAATAGCCTGCGAGCTTGTACGACAGCAAAAATCGCACCGTGTACACCCACCTTTAGCGAGCCAAGCGACAGAAAGATAGAGATGGCGGATAAAAAACAAAAGAGGAAAATGGATCAGTCGTCCTGGTCCCTTTGCAGAAAAACAGCCCCAAAGCATGATGTTTCCACCCCCATGCTTCACAGTAGGTATGGTGTTCTTTGGATGCAACTCAGCATTCTTTCTCCTCAAGTTGAGTTTTTACCAAAAAGTTCTATTTTGGTTTCATCTGACCATATGACATTCTCCCAATTCTCTTCTGGATCATCCAAATGCTCTCTAGCAAACTTCAGACGGGCCTGGACATGTACTGGCTTAAGCAGGGGGACACGTCTGGCACTGCAGGATTTGAGTCCCTGGCGGCGCAGTGTGTTACTGATGGTAGCCTTTGTTACTTTGGTCCCAGCTCTCTGCAGGTCATTCACTAGGTCCCCCCGTGTGGTTGTGGGATTTTTGCTCACAGTTCTTGTGATCATTTTGACCCCACGGGGTGAGATCTTGTGTGGAGCCCCAGATCGAGGGAGATTATCAGTGGTCTTGTATGTCTTCCATTTTCTAATAATTGCTCCCACAGTTGATTTCTTCACACCAAGCTGCTTACCTATTGCAGATTCAGTCTTCCCAGCCTGGTGCAGGTCTACAATTTTGTTTCTGGTGTCCTTTGAGAGCTCTTTGGTCTTGGCCATGGTGGAGTTTGGAGTGTGACTGTTTGAGGTTTTGGACAGGTGTCTTTTATACTGATAATGAGTTCAAACAGATGCCATTAATACAGGTAATGAGTGGAGGACAGAGGAGCCTCTTAAAGAAGTTGTTACAGGTCTGTGAGAGCCAGAAATCTTGCTTGTTTGTAGGTGACCAAATACTTATTTTCCCGAGGAATTTACCAATTAATTCTTTAACAATCCTACAATGTGATTTTCTGGATTTTTTTTTCTCATTTTGTTTTTCATAGTTGAGGTATACCTATGATGAAAATTACAGGCCTCTCTCATCTTTTTAAGTGGGAGAACTTGCACAATTGGTGGCTGACTAAATACTTTTTTGCCCCACTGTATATATATCTATGGTGTAGACAGCGCCACTGATTATAATGAGTTCTATAGTATTTTGTCGCGCTGCTCGCGTCCGGTGTAGACACGGTGTAACATTGGTTTTGCTTTGTTTCACAGAACTAATTGTTGCGTACATGTGTAGGGCGGAGCTATCAAAATAGGGGCGAGACGCTTTTGGGGTAGGGGCGTGTTTGTTATGGTGATTTCAAATGTCAACATTGGCTACCAGAAATCACTTACCCCACCTTTAATGTTATAAATTGAGATTTACAAGAAATATTTTAACTGCTATTATGTAAAAGGAATACTGCTGTAAAAAAAAGCACCTTATTTGTTTAAAGTGTTTGCAAACCAAATGTTATTGCACTTTTGTTCATATAGCAGTACTTTTAAATGAAAAAAAGTGCACAATACACTACTTTTGAATGCATAATTTAATTTTGTGAATAATGCGATTAATCGCAGACAATCATGCGATTAAAAAAAAAAAAGTAATCGTTGCCCAGCACTAATATAAACATGCATATAAGGGCTGTCAAAATGGCTGAAAAACTAAATTCGAATTTTGTACTTAAATATTATCAAAATTCGAATTATATTCGAATTTAAATTGCATAATTTCAGTTAGGGTGAAGAAAAGGTCAAGGTCAAGGTCAGCAAAATATTACTAATGCACATTTATTCAAAGCATAAGATAACATCTGTGAAAAAAAAGTGCATAATGTTTAAAATAATGTTTATAAACCAATTATAATTAATTAAGTTGCTTAAACAACTATAAACAAAACAGCATCACACAGAGTACATTTTTCATTTGAAAACATGAGATGCAGTGGGATGGGGGGAAAACCCCCTGTCATAAAGTTTCAATATATATTTTAAGTTAAACTTGCATTAATTTGACATGGCTTTCTAAACACGTGGCTCCTTTGTGCGAGATGCGAGTGCAACGGTGATAGATGTCCCTCTAGAAAATGCGCGAAATATGTGTTCTGTGTGAACGGCATGGTTTCAGTTTTGATGTCAACAAGATCTTCTCCGCATTGATGTTCTATTTTTCTGCAATATTTTTAATGAACAACGCAGCAGCACCGCATTTAGTGGCTTCAACTGGATAGGCTAACAAAAACATTATAATGCAACGACACTTACATCGTCATCGCATCTCGTGCGCCACTGATAAGGCTGCCTCCTTAACACACACTTAAACATTTTTACAGCCCTAATACATACATACATACATATATATATATATATATATATATATTACATATACACACACACACACACACACGTGCAAATTGTTAAACATACTTTTTGTATTCATGTTGGTTTTGGTTCTGAAAAACTTGACATGTTTTTAAACTGATATAACTAACAACTTCATTGAAAACATTTTTCTAAGAAATAATAATAAATGATTCTACTTGGTTTTCTTTTTGAAGAACATGATTAATTTAATCATTTTCTGATGCATTCTCATTTTTCATTCTGATAAACTCTTAAAAATATAGGTTCCAGAAGATGATTTTGACAAATATGACAAAAGAACCATTCTAGGTTCCCCAAAGAACCTTTCAGTCAACAATGATTCTTAAAAGAAGAATCTTTTTCCTTTTGTGCAATGGAAAGGTTCTATGAATGTTCTTCGTATAACTAGATGCCAGAACCTTTATTTTTTTTTAAATGTATCAAGATTATGGACTTTGTGCCTCCAAAACACAAAACAGGCTCATTCTAGAAGAGTTGTATTCAAGTCATTGTACTCATGAATTGCGTTTTAATATATTGCATTAATTAACGGAAAGAAAAATATGAAGAACATCAAGGCATTTACCCATGCACAACTGTCTGTCTTCATTGAACTATATGAAATGAAGGTGAAATTCCATCTAACCTGTGAGAAGGTAGGACTGGAGGTGGGTGAGCTTTCTGCCTTGGCATCTTTGACTGTGCTGTTGGACTGAGAGGAAGACCTGGTGACCAGACCAGGACTGAACACATCACCCATAGTGCTTACAGACGGAAGCGTGCTCTGGGCCCTCTCCCACCCTTCCTCTGAGGAGGACACGGGAGCAGGAGGTGTTGGGGTCACACTAATGGCCACAGGGGTCACGCTGATGGGAACGGGGGGAGGAGGGGCATGAGGTTTGGTGATTCTCTGCTGAACCGGCCGTGAGGGAGGCACATACTCGGACTCCCTCGCCCCAGACTCTGACCTCAGGTACGACGGCAAAGGCTTCTCTCCTTTCTCCAGAGACTTGATCTGGCTGGGCGTCAGAGACTGAAACTCAGCCTTCTCGCCCTCTAGCCGCGAGCGTTCGGCGCTGATCTTCCAGAAGGATGACTCGTCAGTGCTGGCAACCGGAGATGATGCTGAATTCCATCTGACTCTGTTGGGAAGGGACGGGCTGAATCACATTTGTTTGCTCTTTGCTAGCAAAATGAATATGTATTTTTTAGCAGAGGTGGCTTACTTACCTTGGTCTCCCAAGAGAAGGGAGCGGAGTGCTCATCTTGCCATGTTAAGTCCTTGAAACAAAAGTGACTGAGATGTTAACAAGCCATAAGATGTGACAATACTCCTTTAATCTGCCATTTCTATTTCATTGAATAGGGATAAAAATACACTAAGCCAGCCTATCACAAAATATAATAAATAATTTAAATTTAAAGATGATGCACAGATTTGTTTAAGAAGTGGTTCATAGATGCATCTTTCATAAACATTAACAATATATAGAATTCTAAGAGATTTGTTTGGAAAGCGCTTATTGATATTTGTTTGGCAAACTTTTTTCTTTTTTATCATCAGTTTACAAGCCAGATCAGCTGTATTGCAAAATTTAAAGCAGAATTTTTAGAAGTGGCACAGATTTATTTAAAATATTTCATAAATATTTAGTAAACCGTTTCATTTATAGCTATTCGTTTAGTAAGCCGTTTAATTTAGAGAAATGTATTTATTGGAGCTTATTTATTTACATTTATTTAGTTGACACATTGGTTTGGTAGCCTGTTTAACTAGATATTCAAAAAGGATTTTAGTAAAGTTTAAATTTGAGACATAATCAACAGATTTGTTTAGTAAACAGTTTAATGTACAGACATTTGAAATATCTGACAATAGCTGTTTACTAAAATGTGAGAGATTAAGTATTGAATTATAAATAGTTGATAGAGAGTGAAGTAAACGGTTTAACAAATAGGACAGAAGTTTAACAAGTGAAGAGATGCAACTTAAATTTGACTATTGTTGAAGATAACACTAATACATATTGAACTTTTTAGCAGCTGGTTTAATAACATTTTTGTTTAGTAAACCATTTTATTTAGACCTACATATTTGGCACATTAACAAATAGGCTAGGCATAATATTATGTAAAGGTAGAAAATCAATTCAATGTAAAGAATAGTAAAAGAAACACGAGTAAAAACATGAATCAGATAGCAGACGGAAGGTTAGCTTTTATTTGTTTACATCATAATGTAATTGTGTTGTTTTTTTATTCCAAATAAAGTAGCTATGTGGTAAAAAATGATATTGATGTATAAGTGACCAACTTATTAAAGCCTGTTTATGAAAGCAAGATAAATGTAAAGGTATTTTAGAGATATCAAAGTTGGAGTGCAATAAAAAATGTAAACCTCCAGCAGAATTAAATATATGATTTGGAAGTATTTGAGTCTGTCCTCGATGACGCCTGCAGCAGATGTAGTGAATATTAGACGCGCATGCGCAGTAGCAGGCCTCGAGTTAATTATTATTTTTTTTATAATTTTGCTCTTTATTTATAATTCTGATATTCAACTCAGTAGAACAGCCCCGCAGTTAAGCAGGGCATCAAAAAATTAGTTTATACTCATTGTGTTCCTCCCCACGGAAATCTTTAGTAAAAGGCGAAAGATTTATACGCTCTGAAGAGAAACATGAGTGTACTAACTATTGAACAGCGCTAGTACGTACTTGAGCGACAGGGACACATTTCACAAGAACGGTGAGAACATGACTGACATCGGTACTGCACTATATTGCAACAGAACGACGTATAACAACGTTAAATGATTATGCTATTTAAACGGCGCAGCAAATAAGAGTGTATGCGTGTACAAAATTAAAAATACCTAAGTGAACTTAACTGTACCCCATTGCATTGTGGGTAAGATAGCTTACTTCCGGATTCGTCTTCACTCTGAAGGAATCTGCTCGCTTTACTGGGCATGGTGGAAAACAAGCTTTACACTTTCAAAGCCTTTAGTAACAACATCAGTCTCTTCACCACTTCTAAGATGTACACTTTGAATTGCTTTGCTTAAACACATCTGCTAAGTGAACTAAAGGAAATGCAAATAAAATACAAATTACACATTTCTTACTATGTGCAATAAGTTGTTGTTTTTTTAGCATGTGTGTTTGGCAGTGTTATTTTTTAGGATTACTGATAAACTACTGTCATTTGATTTGTATTATTTGTTATTTATTTTAATTTTAGTTACATTATGTCTGAATTTATTATGCCTGTATATGTCTTTTATTAAGTTTTTAGTTTGATTTAATTTGAGTTATTTTAATACTTCAACAAACTAAATGGAAATGAAATAATATATATATTGAATTTATAAATGTGTATGTACATATGTATGTGTGTATGGTTGTACATACACATATATGTAGTTGCTTTTTTTGGTGTTTGGCTTAGTGTTATGTTAGAATCATTATTATACTCTTATACCTTTTGTTCTTTAATATTTTGAATAGTTTTTAGCTTAATTTTTTTGTTTTTCATTTAAATTTTGTTGTATGCATTTGTCATTTTTATTTAATCTCTTTTTTATTTTTTAAATGTGTATAGGTAGTATTTATAAAGTTGTAGCTTTTAGTTTTGGATCTGTCTTTAGTTGTTTTAATACTACAATTGATTGCTTCTGTTGTCCTAAGTCGCTTTGGATAAAAGCGTCTAATAAATGACTAAATAACTAAAATACAACAATACAATTTTTTTAAATGCAAAACATTCTAGCCCTTTCTGTCATTGCTGTTAATGCAATAATGTATATATTATAATACAGTAAGACATAATGCACAATTTATACTTGTTACAAAAATGCAAGCATTTAAATATAAATCAGATTCAATAGTTTTTAAGATTAATGCAAAAAAGAATTTAGACTAGTTCTAGAAAGTGCGAGAATATGTAACCCTCAATAGTGGGTTTTACTCTTGAAATATTAACAAATATCTAAATAAAAAAAAAGTTATTTCTCCCCGTCGGGGAATCGAACCCCGGTCTTCCGCGTGACAGGCGGAGATACTGTCCACTATACTAACGAGGAAACAACTGGTAAGCTGAAGCGGGATATGGGAGTTTTATTTTATGGTTGGTTGGAAAGATACTATATAAAAGTCCACTAACGATCAGTTGATTCCTCGTTAGTATAGTGGACAGTATCTCCGCCTGTCACGCGGAAGACCGGGGTTCGATTCCCCGACGGGGAGAAATAACTTTTTTCTTTTATATACATGTGACTTAAGAAATGCCTCTAGTATATATCAATCAATAAATCAATCACGTAATAGTGTAGTTCATAAAGCCGTTGTAGTTTCACAGTAAGTGTATGTTGTACAAAACAAAAATTGTATGAACCTTTTGGTAAACAAATCTATCTCCAATGATCAAAAGTAGAGGTTGAGGAACACTTTTCCAACTCTGACCCCCGACGCATGTGGCAGGGCATGAAACCTCATTAGTGATATATTAAGATAAGTTAAATGGTTTATTAAAAACTACAGCATATTCTAAATTGAATAACAGAACAACATTATCAGCCACATCCCAAACTCACCTTTCGTTTGTTTACTACAGCGACACGTTGTGATGATCTTTAGTATCTTCTAAATTTAGAGTCAAATCCGTAAAAACTGAGACTTACCTCGTCTCTTTCTGTCATACATCACCTGCCACACGTTTTCAGAAATTGCTGAATAACTCGATCCACATTAAAGGACCTTTTTTTTAGGTCTAGTGAAGCCTGTGGCAAATTAGTCTGCACACCGTTTATTCTGTGAAATAAACACAATGTTGTTTTTAAATACAATTGTAAAATGCTTTTTAGAAAGAAAATAAATAAACACAGAAAAGCAGCTATTAGAAAAAGATTTAAGACTATTCTAGAATATAGGCTACAGATATTAAAAACAACAGGCATTCAACATGGCATGCACACCTCCATCAGGCCCCTGCACAGATTTATAAAACATCAACATCAAAATCAGCTCTAATATTTCATATTACACCCTTATAACGGTATAATATTAAGCAGTTTTTGCTTATAAATAAATTGCATACAACAGCAGTTAATAGTATTATGCCCTGAATTAGATTGGAGAGAAGTTCTAAGTGAAATCTTTTGCAGTTCATAATGCTTTTTGAAATAGGTTACACGGCTCCCAATTCTGGCCAGTTGGATGTTTGCCCAGAACAAAAGCACAATTAGTTTTTGCACACTAACTGAACACAGTGGTTCTCCTAAATGAAATCATTTGATTATTTTCCAAGCTCTGTAAAGTTCCAATAAGGAATAAGGCAAAATTCCACACACACACACAAACACACAAAAGTTTTGCTTAAGAAAATAGCGCAAAATAGCTCCACACCTACTACAGTTGTTGATATTTTGAATAAGCTTTTATTTTTATTTTTAATGTTAGTCAAATTTTTTGTTACTTTGTTGTGTGCATTTGACATGCTTATCATTTTTTTATATTACATATATATTTTATATTTATAAGTGTATGTATATTTTTTTAAATATTACTATTTAGTTTTAATTTGGATTTGTTTGCAGTTAGTAGTTTCAGTGTTTTAACTTAAACTTATTCCATTTAGTTTTTTAATTTACAAAAATGGTTTTAATACTTCTAGTTAATGATAGTAACCCTGCTCCACACAGCAAGATACAGTTAGAAAAGTTTGTTTCATCAGTCAGTGTTTTATAATGACCTTTATCATTTTCTCTTTATTGCTGTATTGCATCATGCGCACAAAGCTAACTGTTGAGAATTCAGGGTAATAAATGCTTGAAACAATTCATATGCACTGTAAAAATGGTGGAAATGGCCTGAGTAACGAGCATAATACTTTCCTTGTCCTTGCCTCTCTTCTACAGCAGAGCCGGATCAGTGAGAAGAAACTGCTTCACCCTTCAAGCTGCAGTTCACTGTCTGCAGTTACAAGTGAGGAAAACTCATCTCGCAGGACCGGGGCCAAAGGGCGTGAGGTAAGACATGGGTGGCCGTCCGCAGTCGTGATTCCACTGCTGAAATCGTTTTCCATGCTGCGGCTCTGTGCGCTGGACATGTGGGATGAAAGAGCGTTTGGTAAATGCACCAACCACACAATGTTTAAAGTCTACGCAGGGATGTTTAGATACTTTTGGAAATCAAGTGAAAAGGATGGAAAGTCTGCTATGAGAATTCAGAGCCCTTTAGATAACAGATTAGCTAAACCCGAGTCTCCGGCCAGAAGATCATTGCAAAAATTTTCCCGTTTCTGCATTGGAACCTTTTCAGAAAAGTGCTCAGAGAATAAATGCATCACTTTATGAAGGAATTGTAAGTTAATCTCACAAGCACATGATTGTTGAGGTTTAT